TTTGAGTTATTGATATTGTTAATTGATATTGTTTCCACTTCCATTGTAGGTACGCTTGTTCAAATGGCTGCCGTAGAAGACCAGACAATACCTAAGATGAGAGACGCACGAAGCAACGACAAGACCGACCGTCTTCGTCAAGGCCACAAGACGAAGAGCCTGCTACTGTCGACCTCCCATTTGGATACTTGTTTGAGGATGACCCCTCGGTTCACGCTGCATTTGTACGTGACCATGTGAACCGACCTTTATGTCCTCCGAAATCATTGGATACAACATTTTTGCGGCGGAGGGATTTCAGATTATGGCATTGTTGGAGGCAGCACATCTGAGGGTTTTGGATGAGATCTTGTGTCCATATTTAGAGCTGATGGTGCGGGCCTTCTACCATAACCTCAGCTACGTACAGGGTGAGTTGAGGTCGAGGGTCCGCGGGGTGGACATCATCATGACGGCTCTGGTATGGTTGGAGATACTGGGCTATGACTTTAATGCTTCGCAGACGTGGAGTATGAAGCAGATAACAGTGTAACAATTCCTGGATATTCCCGAGGTGATGCTGTGGAGGAGGCTAGGAGGCCTGATATCGCACGTGGGCGTCACATTCACTACACGGTAGGGTTGCTCAGTGTAGAGGCCCGTATATTACACTATGCCATCACCCACATCCTGTTTCCGCGAGCTTTCAATCATTCCAGGGTGTTGGAACATGACATTCCTATCATGTGAGCTATCCGACATACTGTTATGGTCAACTGGAGGCACTACATCTGTTGGATGATGTTTAAGGCCAAACATAAGGGTCATCTTCCATTCGCCTGTCGGGTACAGAGGATACTGGTTCAATTTGGTGTTCCCATGGACACTGAGCACTTGAAGAAGACCATAAGCTATAATTGCAAGTTCGGAAAGCGTCTACTGGAATAGTGCAAGATTGCAAAGAACAGGGCGGGTGTGTGGCAGTTCACTGGTACAGTTGAGGTTGATGTTCCTTATGTTGCCCCAGATGCACGCATAGTTGAGCCAGAGGCGGAGGATGAGGAGGAAGAGGATGAAGAGGCTGAGGTTGAGGAGATAGCTGAACCTGAAGGTGGATTTTCTTTGCGTGATGTCATGAAGGGCATAAATGCCACACTGAAGAAGATAGGAAAAATGGCGCTGAAACATAAAAAATAGAGGAAGAGTCACATCCAGAAAAGGAATGAAAGGTTTAGACACATACAGGGAAGGTTCAAGGGTGTGGAAGATAGGCTTGCTCGTCTAGAGCTCGCACGAGCACATGAGGTTGAGGAGGATGCATGAGAGGGGGCTCATGTGTCAGATTAGGATGACGAGGAGACGACGTCCGAGGAGGAGGAGAATTAGATTTAGGGTTTATGTTTTTAGTTCATGTTTAGGGTGGATCTATTGTTATGTATTTTGCTTTATATCTGATTTGATGTATTTGGGATTAGGGTTTGTATTAGGGTTTAGTTCCTGAACTATTTCATGTAATGAAGTTGTTGTTTTGTTATTGGAATTATTTATCATTATCTATGCCCTTTTCAATGTTTACCATTTGCCGTGAATGGTACTTATCCAATAATTTGATCAATTTGGTTTAAACCATAACATAACATGTCACAATTGTCCATAGAAACTCATAACAATGACTAATACGTGTGTAAAATGACTTAACCAAGTTTCGGGGATCCTAAAAAGTAGTCGATTAAACCAGTATGGTTTGATCGATTAAACCATTACTTTTGGCACCCCATTCTGTTTTCCACGGATTTTTTTGGTTTGGTAGTGATTGTACACTCATGGAATACGTTAGTGTGACTTGAGGAACACAATTTGTGACACAAAAAACCAACGTGGATGTTATAATCCATAAATGTAAATATATTGTTTGGAACGTTGGTTTAGGATCCCCGAAACTTGGTTAAGTCATTTTACACACGTATTAGTCATTGTTATGAGTTTCTATGGACAATTGTGACATGTTGTGCTATGGTTTGAACCAAATTGATCAAGTTTTTGGAAAATTACCATTCATTGCATTTGTTGAACATTTCATGTCATCGGTTTCAAATTTGGATTGAAAGCAACATAAAGCAACATAAAGTAACATAAAGTTTACAATACAAAGTCACATAAAAGAAATACATTAACATAAACCATAAACACATTCACCACCTCCCATGGTGCCTCCTAACATCAAGTTCATAACTGAATGCACAACATTGGTTCAACTCTGTCTAATCCTCATAGGACATGTACGTTTATTGTGACCAATTTGTTTGCAGGTGCTACATCTACTCTGACTGCTTGTGGGTTGCGACTCAACCCAATCCATCTCATTCTGTATCCTTGAAGACTTCGGTCTTCCTTGTGCACGTACTAACGATGAATTTGGGATAATAGTTGGGCCATCTATTTGTGGAATCAACAACTCATTACCCATTGGATACCAATGTGCAGCATAGACCTTGTCAATTTGTGACATTGAAAACACAGGATTGACATAGTCATAGTGGTTCAATTTTTCTACCTTGCACACCGCTAACACGTGACTGCAAGGAAATCTTCTAGCTGTGAACTGTCCACATTGACATTTGCGATTGAGCAAGTCCACCCTCATTATGTCGCCGGCATCATGCGTAGATTGATTGTAGGCATCCTCAACTTCAAACAACTGCAAGTCTGTATCAAAAACACGCACACGGAGACTCACTGTTAACTTCTCATCCTTGTCTATTACCCTCAGTGCTATCTGACTTAAGACAGGTGCCGGTGCGGATAAACCGACTACTCCGACTTCTTTCATGCATAGGTGCAGATGAAGATTGACCACAATCTATTTCAACATATATCTCAATAAAATTTTGAAATTTTCGGTCAACAATTGCATCTATGACACATTCCACATCTTCATCGTCACATATATCATTACCAATGTAGAATAAAGCATCCTTACCAACTGTAGACTCTACCCTGGCGATCATTCGTTAAACGCATTGGCTGCCTTGTAGCCCCAATTTTTGGTGAATTCTCCCATTCAGCTCATTGTATGTAGTGCCCTGTTTGATTTTCAACATTTTTGTTTTTCCTTCAAATTGAGCACCATTGGGGCCTTCATAATGCTTTCCATCATAGTAGATCATTGTAATATACATGTTTGGATTTGAGGTCATCTTTCACACGAATTTGCGAGTAGGGTTCGGATTTTGGGGATTTGGGTTCGGATTTTGGGGCCAAAAAATGAGAATATGGATGGAATGACAATGATTTCACAATATTAAGTCTTTAGAGATGGTGGGATGAAATGTAAGCTTGATTGGAAGGGTCACAGATGACAAACAAGAGATAGAGTGGGTTACAAAACGAAAATATTTGAAATGAGATAGAGAAAGGGCTACATATAGGGTTATCAACGAAATTTAATCGACTAAATATCATGTTTAGTAGATTAAATCTCCCAGGAATTTAATCGATCAAGCTGGATTTGTAGTCGATTAAAATGCGGGGTTCATATTTCCTGTATTTTTGCAATGTAGTCGACTAAATCTTCACCTTAATCGACTAAGGGGGGCATGATGGTGGATAATTATGGGGGAGGGGCAAATTGATTATTAATTAATTAATGAGGGGCAAAAGGGTCAAAAAGCCTTCACAATTATCTATATTTATATAGGTTTGTTAAAAATGACATTGAATGTACAATAGCCAAACAAGCAAATGACATTGAATGATAGACTATTGTAACAAAGATTCTCAAATGATAAGACAAAATGGTTACATGGTCACGAGGTGTACTCCATCTACTAAGGGTCCGTTTGGATGGACTTTTTACTCTCCAGAAGTTGCTTTTCTTGTGTGAAAAAAAACACTTTTCATTTGTAGTTCGTTTGGCTGTCTGCTTTTAAAAAAAGCACAAGTCACAAAAAAAGTCAAAAATCTACTTTTTGCTGAAGCTAAAAATTTTAACTTCTAAAAAAAGTAAAAGTCAAAAGCCAAATATATTTTTTCAAAATCTAAATATTTTTATAAAAATATAAATAACTTTAACTTTTGTAAAAAAGACTTCTAAAATAAAGAAGAGATAAAAGTTACTTTTTTTAAAAGTACAAACAAATCCGCTCTAAGTTCCAATATACCTAACGAACGGACTTCACATCATAAATGTGTAACAAGCAATAGTAGCCTTGAATGATGTACAAGTGTAAGAAAAGTTTTCTTATTGATTTGATTATTAAGGGAAAATCGTTACATAACCAGACAAGTGCATTCTACGCCCATAAATAATTATGTGGGATGAATCCAAAAAAACATTTAAGTATGGATCTACAACCAAAAGTATTTTAGTGCCTGTTTTTGGGAGGTTTTTTTTTAGCTTATCTTTTCTTTATAAGTTGAAGCTAGGTCAAATGTGTTTTTACAAGAGCTCCAATAAGAAAAAGAGTTTTTTTTTTATATAATAAAAAAAAATCAGAAGCTAAAAGCTCATAGGAAATTTTTTTTTAAGTTGTATAATCTTTTTTTTTAAATGTGTGTTTTTTTTGAAATAAATAGCCTTTTAAGCTAATTTTTTTATAAATCATCAAATAACTTGTAGCTTTATTTTTAAAGCTATTTTTTGTTGCTTTAACTTAAAAGTAGTTTTTAACTTTAAAAATAAGTTTTAAAAAAACTTTCATTTTCTCTATTTTTTTTTTTTTGGTAAGTTCATATTCTCCACCTTTCATAAATATCCATATATCTTAAAATAAAATTTGATTTTTTTCTATATTTAATTTGAATTTTCTAAATCACTACCTATCAAGATAAATACAAACAAAACCGATATTTATCTTATTAAAAATCCATAAGCGAAATTTCCGAACAAGGAAGAGAATAGATAACACATGATAAGGGATGGGGGGGGATGATGACTATGATGATATATAGATGGCAGCTTATGATGCATGATGTATGATGCATGTGCAGAATAGAGAGAGGCCAAGAGAAGAATAAGATTTGACTTGATTTCAGAGACAGAGTGTGTGCGAGCGAGTAGAAGAAGAAGAAGAAAGAGAAAAAAAAGCCCAAAGAGAGAGAGAGAGAGAGAATAAGGAAAGGAAAGCAAATCAAATCAAAATTCAATCAGATCGAATACAATCTTGACGTCCGCGGCAACAAAGGATTCTCTCTCTACTTTCTCTCTCTAAAAAAACGCAGCTTGAGAACAGAACAGTGCCCACCCCTCCCTCCTTCACTGAATACAGAAGAAGAAGAAGAAGAAGAAGAAGAAACCCTAGAGAAAGAAAGAAAGAAGCACGTCAACTCAACTCAACAGATATTCTTCAGCACAATTCAAATTCCATTTTCCTTTGATCACTTCGATTCTATTCTATTCTATTCCATTCCATTATTCTCAACACTGTTTCTCTTTAATTTTCAACTAGCGGTAAGTCTCGCCGAGTCTAACCCATTCTCCTCCTTCCTAGTCATGGATCGTTGATTCGCTTCACCTAGGGCTCGATCGACCCCTTTTACTTAGCTACTATTTTTGGTCCCCTTGTTCTTTTTTTTTTTTTTTTTTTGTTTTTTTATTTCCTTCTCTGCTTCGAACTCAACTGCGTTTTAGTTATTATTTTTATTATTGTAAATTGACTTTAGACTTGGTTGAGAAAGAAACTAATTTTGAACTGATAGCTGATTTGTTTTTTAAAAAGGCTTTGGTAATTAGTGGGATGTTCTTATTTTTATTTTTTTGTTAAATGTTTTTTATTGTTGTAATGGTTTATTGGGTAGTGTTTTGTGGCTTATAGTTGATGATTTGGATCTGAAAATTCGTGTATTGTGCAGAGATTCATTCGAAAGGCGTTTGAAGATAGCACATTTCAATGGAGGTAGCACAATTGCAACTTTTACTCCTTTGTTTTGGTGGCACATGAAGGGCTTGGACTTTGGGTTGAAATACTATCTGGGTAGAGAGAGTTTTCATTTTATTTTTTTATTTTATTTTTTATTTTTGTGGCATGTGGTTTCTCACAAGCTTGCTGCGTAATTGGTAGTTTGTTGAGCTCATGTTTTGTGTTCTTAGTTGTTTTGCTTAGGTGAGTGATTGTTTTTAAAGAGAGTAGTATTGAAAGAATGGTACCTCCGGGGCCACCCACTCCGATTGGTGGTGCCCAGTCTGTGCCACCTTCGCTTTTGAGATCGAATTCAGGTGTGTTGGGGGGTCAAGGGGGTCCTGTGCCTTCACAGACTTCTTTCCCTTCGCTAGTATCGCAGCGAACGCAGTATAACAATATGAACATGCTAGGCAACATGAACAATGTTACTTCTTTGCTGAACCCATCTTTCCCGAATGGAATTCCAAATTCTGGGCTCCCTGGTCCTGGAAGTAGCCAGCGCGGAGTTGTTGATAATGGGGCTGAACCGGATCCGCTATCCGGTGTTGGCAATGGAATGAGCTTCGGCAATCCTTCTTCATCGTTTGTGCAACCAAATATGGTGAACACTGGTTCTTCTGGTCAGGGTCAGGGTCAGGGTCAGGGTCAACAATTTCCAAACCCTTCGAGTAACCAGTTGTTGTTGGATCAACAGCATTCCCAACAACTTGAACCTCAAAATTTCCAGCACACTCAGCAGTCAATGCAACAATTCTCTTCTTCAATGAACACCCAACTACAACCGCAGCAGCAGCATTTTCAATCAATTCGAGGAGGGATAGGTGGTAATGGACCGGTAAAGTTGGAGTCCCAGCTAAACAATGATCAGTTTGGGCAGCAACAGCAGCAGTTGCCATCAATGAGGAGCCTTGCTCCAGTTAAATTGGAGCCGCAACAACTTCAAACAATGAGAACTCTGGCACCAGTAAAAATGGAGCCCCAGCATACTGATCAACCATTTTTGCATCAGCAACAACAACAACAGCAACAACAGCACCAGCAGCAACAACAACAACAACAGCAACAACTCCTCCACATGTCAAGGCAATCGTCTCAGGCTGCTGCTGCGCAGATTAATCTTTTGCATCAGCAGAGACTTCTGCAATACCAACAACATCAGCAGCAACAACTCTTAAAGGCAATGCCTCAACAACGGTCCCAGCTACCACAGCAGTTTCAACAGCAGAATATAAGGTCTCCTGCGAAACCAACATATGAACCTGGGATGTGTGCTAGGCGGCTGACGCATTACATTTATCAGCAACAACATAGACCTGAAGTAATAATTATTCTCGTTATTGTCTTTTTTTCTATATATTTATGTCTTCTGTCTTATTAAGGTGTGTTTGCACTTGATTTTTTGTAGGATAACAACATCGATTTTTGGAGGAAATTTGTTGCTGAGTATTTTGCTCCTAATGCCAAAAAGAAGTGGTGTGTTTCTATGTATGGAAGTGGCAGACAAACAACTGGAGTTTTCCCTCAGGTATGCTGCAAGAGAAAACCTTTTAAACTATTTCTGATGCCTCCATAACCTCATCTAAGTTAGTATCTTGATTATTGAATGATGTCCATAGTCCATTATCCAATGTACTATACTCATTTATTGGCATCTTGATTTTGATGTTGTGATTGCCATGTTATTTTTCAAGAAATTATTGCCTTAAAATTTCTATGGAAGTGCAGCCTTCTTAGCTTCATGAAGTTAAGCATTAGTTTCAGCTAAAATATTGTTTTCTGAAATATTTTCAGGATGTATGGCACTGCGAAATATGTAATCGCAAACCTGGCCGTGGGTTTGGTAAGTTCTTTTTGTTATTTTTCAATTTAATTTTCTAGTTTAGTTTTGGATCTTTATCATGTAAATGTTGGCATTTTAAACATGTCGGTTGCTTAAAAATATGATTGTGCTGCACTATCCTTTCTGAAGTGTTTGACGTGTTTTCAGAAGCAACTGCTGAGGTTCTTCCCAGGCTTTTCAAAATAAAGTATGAAAGTGGTACTTTAGAAGAATTACTTTATGTTGACATGCCTCGCGAGTATCATAATTCCTCTGGTCAGATTGTTCTAGATTATGCAAAAGCAATACAAGAAAGCGTTTTTGAGCAACTTCGTGTTGCTCGTGATGGGCAACTTCGAATAGTTTTTTCTCCAGACCTGAAGGTTAGGGATAGGAATAATAGCCTTCAGCTTTTAACTGAAAAATGAATGTACATTATTATTTAAAGGGTTTTATAATTCTCATTCAACATGAGAATTCAAATTTTCCTACACACCCTTCGATTCCCGTGTTAACATGGGTCCTACATATCATTTTTTCTAACACATGGGTCCCACATGCTTTTTATCTCTACAACATGAGAATTGAATTCTCATTCAACATGAGAAAATCAAACCCCTTATTTAAATTCTCTTTATATCCGAAAGTGATTTTAATTGAAATTTTTTGTTTATTATTTCTTTTTCAGATATGCTCTTGGGAATTTTGTGCTCGGCGCCATGAAGAGCTTATCCCCAGAAGATTGTTAATACCTCAGGTTGCTGATTAAATATTTTCTTAATGATAAGCCATTATATCCTGATCTTGTATCAAGAGATGCTCACAAGATATTCTGTTATGATGGTTGATGTGTATTTCTGTTGAGAGTATGATAGACTTCATATATTTGTGTGACTATTGCATATTTTGATATTGTTACATGGTAATATGTTTGCCAAGCATCACTCAATCTATGTATTCTTGGTTTTGGTGCTAGTTATATTATTTGCTAGGAATAACTTCTAGAGATGTTAACAGAGTAATACTTGCTTATATATTTAGATTATTGTTTCCAATGACAATGTATTGTACATTATAATTATTTATTCATATTTTTTTACTGTTGTATTCAGGTTAGTCAGCTTAGAGCAGTTGCTCAAAAATACCAGGCATTTACTCAAAATGCAACAGCCAATATATCCGTTCCAGAGTTACAAAATAATTGCAATATGTAAGTCCATTTTTCTATCTATTCTTTGTACTTGTTTCTGAGCCTGAGCGTTTTCTTAATTATCTAATTGTGGAATTTTATGCTGTACCTGTGAACTTGAAGTTTTGTTAGTTAATTATCTTGTAACTTTCTTTTTCTTGGATCATGGAATGGCCTTGACTTATTTCCTTTTGAGTAGGGATTTCTTATGTTAAAGTTTCACTTTGTTTATGTTCTCTTGTAAATTTTAGTTTTTGTTCTGTTCTGTTTTTGTCTCTTCTTTTTGTTTTACCCTGCTGCATCTTCTTGTATATGAATCTCTTACTCATGTATTCATAGTGGTTTGTAATAAAATTTATTTATATTTTTTTAAATGTTGAATAAAAGATCAAATGTATTAGCTTATGAAATACATTTTTGGATGCTTCAGTTGATCGGTCCTTGAATCGTACTCCTAATTAGTGAGAGATGGTACTAACATTTGTCCTATCCTTATTGTATCAAATTTCTACGGCTAAGTTTTTCTTTTGTGCTCTCCTGTTCATAGTTATCAATTGTGGCACAAAAACACGCAATTATGCTACAGTAGCAGATTGCGGACCACCACCGCGCCTGATCGCACCGCAACGCTAGAGGGAGATGCGGCTGTTGCGGCTGCAAATTACGGGCAAATTGCGGCTGTTGCGGGTGCCACAACACTGAAGCAGTGGCAAATTCTAAATTTGCCCCTATTTTATATTTGTAATAGTTAGTTTTTTTGGACTTTTTTGTCATTTTACCGGGTTTTATGAAACCCTGAGTCTTCTTTCCTTTCTCTCGATTGTGATCTTGTCTCTCTCTGTTTCTCGTCTCTCATCATGTCTCTGGTCTCCCTAATATTTGCGCTCACTCTCTTCACTTCTGGTCTCTCATTACATCTCTAACTCATCTCTCTCTTGCTTCTGGTCTCTCATTACATCTCTTAACTCATCTCTCTCTCTCTCTCTCTCTCTCTCATCCCCCCTCCTTGTTTTTTTTTTGTTCAAATACTATGTCAAATTTCTATTTCTGTATTGTCATTATGTTTCTGTCTCCGTGGCCATAGTATTGTCAAATGCTTTTTTTTTTTTAATTTCTCTTTTCGTCTCTGTCTAATCATTATGTTTTTGTCTCTAGTTTACTATATTTCTGACTCAATATAACGCTTGCACTATCTCTGTCTATGGTATATCATATTTATATAGAGTCATTGACTCAACAAGTACTCAATATAATAGACTCTATATTAAATGTATATGTCTGGTATATCTAGATTTTATTTTTCTATACTGCAACCCTATATATCGTTCTAGCGATTTCAGGGTCAGCCGCGACAGGCTTCAATCCACGATTGATAACTATGCTCCTGTTATTGCATCTGTCCTAGATTGGGAAAATTTAGGATTAGCAGCCATTTTTCTTCTTGGCTGAGCTGTTTCTTGAAAATATATATTTTGTACCGATTTTTATTTTTTTTTAATTTTCAAAGATAATTGTTCCTGGGTTTTAATGGATTTTCTAGGCTTCAGGGATGTGTGTTGCATGCTGATACATCCACTTCCTATTTCATTTGTCCTACTTTTTTTTTGATCTATTTGTGATCTAACTTAATTAGGTTCTCTGGTTTTATTAAATTTCTGTTTTCCTTTTCCTAACTTTATATGCTGCTTTTCCAGGTTTGTTGCATCAGCACGTCAATTGGAAAAAGCTTTAGAAGTTCCATTGGTTAATGATTTAGGTTATACAAAGCGATATGTGCGCTGCCTACAGGTCATTGCTCTACTTGTTGAGGCGCTTTCTTTAGTATAGAAAGTAGAATGCCATTGTGAACTGAACAGTGAACACCCACATTCTTCTCCTCTGGTTGTTTTGAATAAGAAATTCTTACTTGGTTCAATGCTTTATTTTGTGTCAATTTGATTGCAAAATATGGCAATTATTCTGGTTTACTGTTATGTTCTTTATTGTTTCCAGAATCACTGTTTGTAATAGAATCTTCTTATGAGATAGGACTTTGGACCCAGTATTGGTTAGCTCTGATATTGTGATGGTTCTTTTTTTGTCTTTTCAATTTTTTTCTGTTATTTCACTTACCCCAGTTAGTTTGGGATAAAGTTGATGTTGATGTTTTTTTCTGTAATTTTTGGGGAGTGATTATCAAGCGTTTCCCTTCAAATAACTTCTTGAGTGCTACCAAAGAGAGTAAAATATAACTTTTTTTTGCCATGGATGCTTTAATAATTGAAGTAAATGAAAAGTTATCAGATAAGTTATGAATTAATTGAGAGTATGTTTCCTAATAAACTTACTGAGTTTGGTGTGCTGAGTTGACTTGACCAACTTGTTTTTTTGTTCCCTACCTGTTTATGTTGCAGATATCAGAAGTGGTAAATAGTATGAAAGACTTGATAGATTACAGCAGAGAAACCGGGACTGGACCTATGGGTAAGTTAATGATCTGTTTACGAAATTGATCATACATTTATGAATGTGGATATGAACATAGTTTTGAAATAGTGTCATGTTTTATTGAAGGCACCGACTATCTTGCTCTCATATATTGTTGCAATGTTGACTTACCATTTCTAATTGAGCTTTATATAGAATCGGAAGAGCCTTAATGCCTCTACTTTTATCAGTTTATACTTTATAGGGAAAAGTTCACCAATGCCCCTATGGTCTGCTTCAGAATCATTTATGTCCCTGTGGTTTTTTTCCTGTCACATGTGCCCCTATGCTTTGTAAAAAATAAGAAACCACAGGGATATATGTGATAAAAAACATACCCTTTTACAAACCACAGGGGCATATGTGATAAGAAAAAAACCACAGGGGCATAAGTGATTCTGAAGTAAACCACAGGGGCATGTAGTTAAGACTAAATTACTTATTTAGTCCCCATAGTTCCATACTGAATAGTTCAGTTTAGTCCCTATAATTAAAATTGATTTAACAGGCCCCCATAATTCCCGAACTATGCAAAATGGTCCTTTGTCTGATGTCATTACTTCCCTATGATAATTATGTTGACATTTAAATAAAAAAGTATCAAATGGAGATACAAGTCGCAATCGTAATATGAATTTTTAGTGACATGTAGGAAAAGCGTCATGTCATTCCATGTGAGTCACTTGTGATCATTATTTGGATTTCTTTTATATTTATGCCAGCGTGAACTGGCATGCTGCCTGTGGCTTTCTTTTGCCGCCAAGTATTAAAAATTGTTGTTTTTACCACATTGTTTGGCCGTTTGCTCACTAATCATTTTCCTTTTATGCATCGTTAGTGGGGATTATTTTACACACTACGGAAATTATAGGGATTAATTTAATGTTTGAATTGTTGGGACTAAGTTGGATTTAGTTTGAAAATAATATGGGTAAATGAGTAGATTAAACTATAATTAATTTATTTTGGACATTCACACCAGTTCCCACAAAAACAATATCCTACTTTTTGGTTGATATCTGGAGGACCTTGCGTCCAACCTCTCAAAGCTATGCTAATGGAATTAATTCCAGAAAAAAAACGTCTTTGCTATTTGGCAAAAGTAATTGCATGCATTCCAAAGCTATTGAGGTTTATGCTCATTCTGTACTTCATGACTTCGTTCTATCTGTATTAAATATTTTTCGTCATTATGGGAAAATATGCTTGCGTTTTTAACTGCTGAAACAAGTCCTCTAGTCTTGAGTGCTTCACTTGTTGGTTGGCAGATGGTAAGAACACAATCAAACCATTTTTTAACCGAGATAAAAGCTGGAAAGTATAACAATGCATCTCTTTTGCTGCTTTGGACTATGTTTGGGAAAATGAGTTCAAAATCTTTACATAAGGCCATTTCCCTTAAACAGAGGAAAGGTTTGGTATTCGAGATAATTTGCGTTGGAAATGATCTTTTTTGTTGCGAAGATTTTTTTAATTAATAATAATTGCAAGCTGTTTGATTGTAATAATATGCAAATTATGGAATGTTATTTTTCTTGCATTCTCAGACAGCTTAGCCAAATTTCCTCGGAGAACGAGTGGTTCATCTGGACCTAGTCAATCTCAACAGTCTAAAGATCAAATACAGCAGCAGCAGTCACAGCTGCAGCAGCAGTCACAGCTGCAGCAGCAACAACAGCATATGGTGGCCCATACCTCCAATGGTGATCAAAACCCTGTGCAAACTGCTTCAAGCAATGGTGTGGCTAGTGTAAATAATGCTGTCAATTCAGCATCTGCATCAACCACCACAAGCACCATTGTTGGACTTCTCCACCAGAACTCTATGAATTCTAGACAACATAATTCAATGAACAATGCAAGCAGTCCATATGGAGGTAATTCTGTTCAGATTCCATCCCCAGGTTCCGGTACGGTGCCACAAGCACAACCAAACCCATCTCCTTTTCAACCACCAACACCCTCCTCATCTAACAACCTCACACAGACATCTCATCCTGTCTTAACATCTGGCAATCACATGACTTCCGCAAACTCACCAGCTAATATTTCCTTGCAACAACAGCAGACATCTCTTACTGTTGAAGCCAACCCTAGTGATGATCAGAGCTCAGTCCAGAAAATCATTCATGACATGATGATATCCTCCCAGATGAACGGCACAGGTGGAATGGTAGGTGCTGGTTCTCTTGGAAATGACGTTAAGAATGTAAATGGGATTTTACAAGTGAGTGGCAATGCTGGGCTCAACAGTGGCAATGTCCTTGTGGGTAATGGTGCTGTGAACGGTAATTCAAGTGTTGGGGTTGGTGGTTATGGCACAATGGGTCTTGGTTCTTCTGGTATGGCGAATGGAATGAGACCTGCAATAGGAAATAATTCAGTCGTGAATGGAAGGGGAGCAATGGCATCTATTGCTCGGGATCAAGCTATGAATCATCAACAGGATTTGTCAAGTCAACTACTTAATGGGCTAGGAGCAGTAAATGGTTTTAATAGTCTTCAATTTGATTGGAAACCGTCTCCATGAGAGCCTTTGTAATCTTATGGATGTTGTGTGGTTCTTGGGCAGCTGCTTGTGCAGCATGAGAAATGCTAGAATTGCCTTCGGTCCCCTGATGATGGCAGAACGCAGTCGGTTAGTGATAGGTCGTTGTACTAATCTGTTATTTTATATATATAAAAATGAAAATTTGTTGGCTGGTTATTTGGCTGATGGGGTTTTTTTTTTGTTTTGAATTCAAATGTAACCTCTTATTTTTATATTTTTTAAAGTATCTTTATGGCGTTCACAAAAATTGCCCGTTACACACAAACACACGCAAGAATGTTGATGTTTTGGGCTGATTGGGAGCTATGCATCAGCGGTGAGTTTGTTTGGTACCATGTCTGGTTTTTTAGTCCCCAAAAGGAGTTTGTTTCCTTTTGAGACAGAGCTAGAAAGGCTGAGGGCATTGGAAACTGAATTTATCCTCCTAAATCTGGAGCATTGGTGTCAAATCAATCTGGCGTGACAAATTGTTGGATTAGTGATAGTAATAACATTTGGAAACTGAATTCTGATAGATGAACGAAGGAACCGGCAGTGAAGAAAAGGGGGACTCTAGATTTTCCTCCATCCGGAATTTATACAATGTAATCTTTACAAAATGTTGAAAAAAACAAATGGATACAAAGTTCTATTTAAAATGTTGAAACCATAAAATGAAAGATGGTCTTTAATTTATGATCCAGCATTCACCATGTTATAACATTTTTCTCGAATCATACATCAACATATTTCTCCACTGCTGCGGACAAAGTGGACTTGGGAACTGCACCAATAACGCTTTCCTTTTTCTCTCCATTTTTGAAGAACAGAACAGTTGGTATGCTTCTGATCCCGTACTGTGTGGCTATGGTGGGACAGTCATCGGTGTTAAGCTTGTAGCACGCAATTTTCCCTGCATACTCTTTCGCTAACTCATCAATTACTGGGGCTATCATCCTGCATGGACCACACCATGGTGCCCAAAACTCTACCAGCACTGGGGTTTCACTTGCAATGACAGAGTCATTCCAGCTTGAATCTGTCACTACTCTTACTGCAAAATTTGATTATATGCATATCATCAGACAAAAACACCACAATGAGGGCTATAGCCACTAGTTGGAACTGCTACATAAATTCTTTCTCATCTCAATCACATATTTGGCTGCAAAATGCTAATACCTAATATAAAGTCTTATACAATGATATTCCTTTAATGTTGTTTATATTACAGTATCCAGTTTTATACCTTCGATGCCTGTTTAAGAGAGACTGAAATATATATAATGGAGAGTTAAACAGGAAAACCATGTCAAAGAAGGTGGATTATTTCTGAGTGAAATATAAGGGTTACCTTCATTGACTGCTTCACGAGCATTGCAGATAAAACGAGATTTTGTGTTGCCACCAGCAGCATGGTAAAGAGAAGATGGGTTTGGCAAAGTTGATTTTGACAAAGATTTCTTGAATCCTCTGTAAGTTGGGAAAACAAGCTTTGCCCTTGAACTGAATGGATGAAGACAATATTGGGGTCTGGTGGCAGTGCCTACTGTGGTTACTCGTAAACAGTTCTCCATGGCCATGCTAGCTGCTTCTCTGTTTTCCTTTGAGTGTGTAATTTTCTGCTTTCACAATGCAGGACTCCTTGTGTTATGGATAAGCTACTGTCCTGGTTTTTGTGCTGTATTTTCTTTAAAGTGGATATTATTTCAATATTGTAAGGTTCTCATAAGGCTCAGATTCATGTGGTTGTCATTGATGTTTTCAAACCTTTTAACTTTTGTCTATAACTGCACAGAAAAAGTAGCAAGAATTAAGTGTCCAGTGTCCACGTATTTTTGACTCTTAAATTAAATTTTAGGGAAAAATTTTATATCTAGGAGAATAAAAAAAAGGCAGACAGTGATAAAAATTATAATCGTCTAAAATTTTACATTTTAAATTAAGTACAATCCAAAGAGAGAATTATTAAATTATAACAGTTATTAGAAAATAAAAACTTAAGATTAATATAATAAATTATAAAGTTTTTAAAATTTATTCTTTTTAGTTTTCTTATTCCTATAACTCTCATTCTCTCTCTCTATATAAGTGTTATAACTTACAACATCCAATTTTATTACTGATGTTATTTATATGAAATGGTTTTTATTTATTATATAAGCTGTAGATATATATTAGATCAACAACTAATTTTAAAAATAAAATTCTTATATATACATTAAGCAAACTCCGGTATTGACGACTAAACCAACACATGTTGGTATCGAGTGGAGTTCTCTAATTCTTTTCTTTTGGCTAATGAAACCCCTACATTCTTTAGTCTCAACTCACGCTTGAATTTTAATTTAAATCTTTTTAAATTATTAGACAATTACTATACTACATTTATTTTTATTTTTTAAACTATTAAAGTTGTTCACATCTCTGGTATGAAACGTTAAACAATTATCATTGTTGTTCTCTTTCAAAGAAATTTAAAGTATAGTATTGTTAGAAATAATAACTCGTAGGAAATCTGATGAACAATTGACAACTACTAACCTATTTTTTAAATAATTGTTTGTGTCAAACTTTGATAAAAATAATTTTTTAAATTAGATGTTATTAGATATATATAAAATCATTAGGGCTCCTTTGGTGGACACGATATCAATAGGATAGATGGGCTGGATAAGAATAAGAAAGAAAAAGGGCTTGATAAGCTCATATTATATCATATATTTGATGTGCATTGGATAAATAGTATGATATGATTATATTATCACATCCTATGTTTGGAATCAATCAAATAATGCTGGGATATGATATAAATTGACAAAATAACCTCGAGAAAAAATATATATATTTATTTTAAAATTAATTTTTTGGGTGCTAAAACATGAGTCTAGGGTCTGACTCAGAGGATTCCAGTGTCGTTGCGATGATCTCTTCTGTGCAATATTTATTAGGCATTCAAGCATAAATGCTAATAGTAAGCAAAAATGAAGACGCCACCGTCAACTTTTTTGATGATTAATGAGAAAAGAATACATGAGATTAGGCAATGTAAGCGTATTTGGTACGTTTCGAAAAAGGCTTGCGTATTGCAGCATGTTGCCGATACCAGCTTCTGGTGAGGGAGAGGGATGCAGCGGTGCCGGTGCTAGTGACGGTTGGATAGTAGGGGCGGTGGCTGACTTGTGATAGGATGGGACTTGGGTGAGGCAAAAGGTTTTTTGGGAAAAAAATTCTTATCTTATCCTGTTTGATTGTAACTTAGAGGAAAAAAATTAAAATAATGTATTTAAATTAAATAATTATGCATTTAATGCTGTTTTGTAAAAAATTATACATTTGTTGCACAATGAGACGCTCCTTTTGGACGTCACATGTGACGCCCCAGTGAGGCGTCTCTCCCTTGGCGAAGACGCCCCATTGGGGCGTCACATGTGACGCCCAAATGGGGCGTCTCATGTGCAATCCATATATACTCCACTTTTCTTTTTTCACTCCTTACTCATTCACCTCTCTAACCGCGGTTCGTAGCGAAGCTCTGCCAACGTAGGAAAGGTTATAATACCTCATATGTATACATTTAAATTACAGTGGTAGTTAGTAATACATGTTAAGATTGATTGTATATTAGAGACTTGGAACATTAGGATAGTCACTTAGAAATTTTGTGGCATGCTATGAATGTTGTAATGATGTAGTAATTTTATTATTATGTAGTTATTATTATTAATTTTTAATTATGCATTAGGGTTTAGCATATTAATTAGTGATTTATAAATAGTGTTATGGACTTCGTAAATTTCATATGTATGATGTTATTAATGCGGGAGTGTAGTTAGTTAGGTGTGATGATTAGTACGTATTGAACAAGTTGGTACTGACCTAGAGTTAAGTATTCAGTTAGTATTATATTATTTTTGTCCGATGTATTATTATTATTTAATTGCAAATAAATAATTGTTCTACGTTTTGGCGAGACTTCATAAATTTCGATTCTAGTTAAATAAATGACGCATATGCTTAATTTTTGAATTATGTCACTGCTTAATTAAATTGTAAATAAAATGGGGCATTACATGTGATTAGTTTAAATGTTGTTTTATATTATATAGTTGAGGATAATGGTTGAGTCATCATCTTCATCGGGATCTGAGTCGGATGTAGAGCCCACCGATCCCAGCATGTGGATCATACCAGGGCCGTACAGATGGGAGGTCCTTCGTAAGAGGACGCAGAAAGCTCATATTTCACAGCGAGTGGGAATACAGAGCATGTAAGGAAAATTAAGACCAGGCGTGGGAAGCCACAAGGGGGCCACCTACCGGTGCTATTCCACAGGTTGTCGAAGAGTACCTCAGACAGGCGGGATTCATACATGTTGCCAGGATGCAACATATCCAGGTATGTTATTTACGTCGTTTTGTATTTATGTAATTATTCAATAAAATTCGTTAACACGTGATAACTGCGTAATTTATCACAGATCGATACATTTTTAATTAGTGCTCTGGTCGAGAGGTGGAGACCAGAGACACATACCTTTCACATGACCCAAGGTGAGATGACGATCGCCTTGCAAGATGTGGCAGTCATATTGGGCTTGCCGACTGACGGCACTGTCGTCATCGGATCGACCTCCGAGGATTGGCACGCTGCTTGTGCTGCTGTTTTTGGACATGTTCCAGAGGCCGGTGAGTTCCATCATTCTGGCGACCTCCGCATCTCATTATTACCATCTTGGGCTGTGGCCACCAACAATTTCCCTTTGTACTTCCCATATAAATGTGTTCCATCAATTTGTATGACGGGTTTGGAAAATTTGAACGCCTCACAACACTGTCTAAACATCCAAAAAATGCGATGAAAAACCTTTTTTCCAGAAACTAAGCTCTGCTCGGCATAAAGATCATTTGTTTGTATATGATAAAATGAACCTGGAGAAAAGCGAAGCATGTATTCGCACCACCTTGGCAAAAAAGCATACGATTCCTCCCAATCACCGTACATAATTGCCATCGCTTTCTGCTTCGCATACCACGCCTTTCTGTAGGAAACTTTAAAGCCATATTTAGCAGTTATCCTTTCTTGCACCAAAGAGATTGACACAGATGGTTCTGACTTTATCATCCCTGCATTGAAGAGGATATCAGTGCCTCGATAACATCGAACGAATTTAATTACACGGTAGTACGTAAACATTGACATGTCAATACGGTAAATAAATACGTACCTATGACGAGATCTGCAATAACGTCGGCATTGAGCTGTCTATGACCCTGGGAAATGTGCTCATTCACACATTCGTGTTTTCCACCCCATCTCGTAATCTTCCAGTTTTCACGAAACACCGGTTTGATCGCCCTTACGCGCCACGGACAACCTTGATCATACGCACAACATTTCATGGACAACTTTGCAGGCGTGCTCTCAATTACAATGGCTTCTTGATGCTCCCTAATGAGGTTGTGCTTAAGTGCCATTTGGACATCTTTTTTTGTCGCAAATTCCTGATTGACAAATAACATGTCACCCAGTTGCCACAGACCTTGTATTGAAGCCGATCCAGAGACTGAACCATCAGTACATGATTCTTGATCGCTCTGATAACTCCAATCAATGTAGGAATAATGCGGAATTCCTTCCCAAAAAGGAATAACATCTGTGTCACCTGCAATTGCGGATTATAATTTTGTAATACAAACTTACTAATTCAGGTATTAAATCAGTTATCTAATCAGCTATATACAAATGAGATCAATTACCTTCATGGTGAATACCGAACGGGGCAGACGCAACGTCATTCAACTGCGGCATTTGCGCGACGATTGGTTCATGGAATATTGGGATTTGAGACGCACCCATCTCACGGGATTCATCTTCTTCTGAAGCACTAGCATCCTCCGCCAGAAGATGTTCTTCCATTGCCATATTTTCATCGTCGTCATCGTCATCTTCGTCGTGCATTTCCCAAGTTGGATCATTTTCATCTCCCTCAGAAAAGTTACCAACTGGAGACGCATGAGCGGCAGGAGAAGCTGGAAGACGGGGAGAATTTAAAAAAACTGACCTCACCGGTAAGGGAGCATTCTCGGTTGCGGCGATGTTGACAAACAACTCTAGAAAATCTGTCCTTGACTGGTTGCAAAATTCTTCCATTGACATCTCCAAGTCTTCATCGTCAAACACTTTCAAACTAATGTATTTATCACCTTGCCATACCCTTGTCGTGATCTCAGTGATACATTGGTTGTCTAGAAGACTTAACTTCTGCCGAATTCTCTGATGCAGTTCGCCAATGGTTGTGTTGCGTTGGATACGTGTTGGCCTTTTTTCACCTTCGAAGATGACACCTCGTCGACCTTCTACCTTCCTACCATTGTAATATAACATAGCATGAACAGAATCAGGATTTGAGCTCATTTTTAAATAGAATAAGAAATAAAATTCAAATACTAAATTAAAGATAAATGAATGTTGGCGGAGAAGAGATATATGAAGAGTGAGAGAAGAGGTGTGAATTGAATGGAGGGGTGGGGGAATATATAGAGCACACATGTGAAGCCACTTTTGGGCGTCACATGTGACGTCCCAATGGGGCGTTAAAGTGGCGTCACATTGTGCAACAGATGTGTAATTTTTTACAAAACAGCATTAAATGCGTAATTATTTAATTTAAATGCATTAT